TACTTAAAAATCGGCACATTTTAAAATTATACTTTGTTTGGATAGACTCCTACGATATTCATTTTATTCTTTTATACCTTATCCTGAAATAGGTGAAACCTGAAAATTTCTACAAGATTTAAAGTACCGGAACGTTGTACAATTTATCCTCCTTCAGAATCATCCATAGGTATTGTCAGATATTGACATTGAAACCTCCGATAATATCCCAGGATAGATCATCATTTCTAACTCTTCAAATGTGCAACAATGTTTTTCATTTCTTTTAACAGACCTAAAAATTGTAGGGTCGGACATATTTTTAGGACCGAACAAAACCTCTATTAGGGCTGATAGTAAACATGTGGCAAAAAAGTTGAAATTTTCATAAAAAGATTTGTTTTACGTTTTTATAAGTGTTCGTGAGTTTTATAATAGTTTTGTTTGAGAATTCTAAAAAAATGCATATTTCAAACGGATACAAAATTTTACGCAAAGTGTGCATTGGAATTTTAATAAGCATGGCGCTTATAATGAGGCAATAAGTTAACACTGCAACCATACAGAGGCAAAGCTTTTTCTCATTTTACACACATTAAGTAATTTTAGAATGAAAACTAATTTTGTGAATATTATTCTTTGATAAAAAAATTAAGACTCGGGATGATTACATGTTTGAGCGAGAGTGATTTTAACTTCCGTTAAGATCCACTAAATGACTTTAATAGGTATGCTGAATTGTAGTTTCCAGTACAATTCAACAGCTTGACATGTTTTTGCTTGCTCATGTTATGACATTTACATCAAAGGAAAATGTTGCATAATTTGCCGTAATGAATAAATGCAATCATTCATTATCTCATTTTAGCGAATTAGTATTAACATATAGAATATAATACTGAAATATGTAATAATTTATATCAATTATTAATCAATAGGGCATTTAAAAATACTTTTTTATGGATATATGTAATTCATGGTGTTGCTGATTATCAAAACATATAATAACTTTGGTAACGACGATGTATATAAATGTTCAACAAATCTTACAAATAAAACTCACTCGAAAAAAGACAATTGCCAGTCATTTAATATGTGTGCGAGTGTTGCTGTTGATTTAAAATAGAACAAGACATTTCAGAAATAAATATTTCTGTAAACAATTTGTAGATTAGAGAAAAGTTCGAATAAACGTATATCCTTTCAACGGTAATGGCGTTATAAAACGAATTTATATATTATCGTGAAGGTGGCATTTTTTTTGCGTCCGTACATTCCATATTTACGTCTTAACATATGGCACTATACTGGGTGTCACGTGACCGAGGTCATAGACGAAATTTGGACATCGCTTAGTTCTTGCGAATGCGACAAAATTGAATTTTTGTGTTCTGCCATTGTTCATGCATTTGTAAGTTTTGCTCCGCTGACCTATACGTGTTACGTTGACCTCTTCGTGCGACTAGTGAACATAATTCTTTATCGAGTGTTACTAAACTTCAAAAAAGCATCTATAAAAATTGTTGTAGCCACATTCTGGACATTTTATCCTCTCTGTTGTCTCTTTGTTTGGTTGGTTTTACGGCGCACCAACACAGTTTAGGTCATGTGGGATGACTTTGGTTAACACTTCAATTTCAAAACACCTCTCCTTCTAGATCTGCATAGACCCGATTTTGCTGCCTCTTACGATCACACAGGGATAAACGGTGGCTGAAATTCTGATATCTCAGCCCTTAAAGCCAATCCCCAAGGCACATGGGGTCTCAGGAAAGCAGAATTCTTCATACTTACATTCTGATATCTTTATCTGACATTTGACCATTTATGGTGACATTGACATTAGCCACAGAGACAAACCACTTCAAATACGTTTGGTGTCTGGATGCCGCACGCCTGTCAGGGACGATTCCAAAATACTTCGCGTATAAAATGTCAAAAATAATTTCCGGTTGTGAGTTATCCAACGAATATTTTCACATCATGATTATGGTAATAGATTAACCAAACGATAAGGAATTTGAATAATCCATTAGTTATAGTTTAATTGTTTTTTGGGGGGGATTTCTGTAATGCGAACACAATCCTTTAAAAAACGTCCAAGGGTGTGCCGTCTTATCAGCAAATGCAGTATTTAGTATTCTTTATTTGTTCGTTCTGTTTAATGGTAAAAATAAAATACGTTGGATTGCAATCAGATACAAACTTCAAATAAGCTTCTGGGTAACTTTCATTTATGAATCGTATGATGAATGATGTGCTTTCTGTTGTTGTTTAACAAAACAAGACATATCTATCTTGAACAGTGCGTAACTTGAAACTTCAGTACATACTAAATGCCTCATAGATTTAGAATATTATCATAGCAAATTAACAAATGAAATAATTAGTAATAATGACTTTATCATAACAATCTCAATGTTTTAGGTTTAATAAAGATAAATATTCAATCATACTGTTCCGTCTATATATACGTACGCTACTCCATGCCAGATCAATGACATAAGCCAGAATAACACGTGGTTTTTGTTACTCGTAAAAAAGAGACATTGCCAAGAACTTGAAGATGACCCCTTTTGATTTTGAGGCCTTGAGGTCAAAGGTAAAAGTGACACTCTATATTTAATTGCCGATTGTTAACGGTATAAATGTGTGTCAACACATACCTTCATTTACGTGAATGATATTTATATTCATATCGGTTTTATTGTTTTCTTTTATATGATATTTATATTTAATGTTATGCATGTGTAGATGATAAACTATGTTTAAATCTAATCTAATAAACGATATGTTCTGTTCCTATTTATTCAATTATTAATTAATTGGACAACCGTTGATTGGTAGCATACTTTCTCAAATTTTAAGGGCACATTTGATAAACATCCCCATATTTGTCATTGTCTTATAATTCACTGATCTTAGCAGTTCAATAAGCTTAAATATACTTGGTCGAAGTTTGTAATGAATTTACCGTTTTCTAATGACCCTGTATCTCGCACATTTCAGCATAAAGTGATATTCGTCCTCTACCTCGCCATTTTCACATATTTGACACAGTCTACAGTATATTCCCTGTCTCGTTTCTATGCGTAAACAGTGCGCAGACGTTCTCCTTCTTGTTATTAAGAGCCTCTTCGATTTGTTCAACAATTCTAAATTAGGTTCATATTCAAAATTTTCTTTAACATGTTTATACCAATAATACATGTTTGTTTTCAATATCACTTTTCCATTCATTACATTTATCTTAGTCGAAAACTTCTAGTGTTTTAAGTATAACCTCCGTTTGTTCACACATTTATAATCGAACCATTCAAATTTAAATGCCGATTTTGTGCAAAATTTGTGTTTCACCTTGCTATGATAAGAACTTTTGACAAACAACGGCGCCGACGCTCTATTAATCAAACGTGTAAATTATCTGACAGTTTCATTCACAGTGATGTCTTTTATCATTTCCGCGTTAAACTGTGGAAGTGATACTATAATATTGTTTCTACTTGATTTTAAAATGAATATATTCATTGTTAAGTTATGGTTCCTCATACACATGTGCGATGATGCTGAACTGTAACATAGCATGGTCTGAAAACATGGTAAAATCACTTGTGCCAATTGTACCAATACGCCCAACATTAGCCTGTTGACACATTAAATTATCAATTGTTGAACAAAAATTGAGTCCGTAATATGTGAAGGAACTCTTTAGAGAACGGTTTTGTGTGTGGAGGGTAGTCATGACTTGTAAATGAACCTATTAATTGTAGGGCCAATAGGTCAAGGCGGAAATAGGCCTTGACCATTAAAGGTTTGTCCGAGCAAAAACTACAGAACGCCTTGTCATTCAGTCCTAAGAATTGGTTTGGAGGTTTGGCATGACTAGTTGATAATTTCTTTTGATTTAAATGTCAAAAGTTAAGAGTTCAAGGCCACAGTGACCTTGACCATTAAAGTTTGACTATCAAAGTTTGTTTTACTAATAACAAGAGATTACTTACAGTCATGAGATTTTGGTGTTGTGGTGATGACTAGTAGATGGCGCTGTTGATTATGAAGTCATTTGATTGAAGCTATAGGTCATAGGGACACTTTATGTAATTTCAATGTCTTATCAATAACTAGAGAAGTTTTAGATTTCGAGACTTTGTGGAGACATTGTCCTTGGCCTGTATAAGTCATATATTCATTTTGAGGTCATGATGTCAAACCGTAAACTGTTGCGTATGCAATACTTGTTTAATTATAAGACACATATGTTGCAACTTTTTTTCTGATAATACTTATATATAATATTTTTCTGTAGATATACTTGATAAAACGACGGGACTAAAATGAATATACAAATTGTTCATATTGTTTATGAAATAATTAATGAAATAGAGAAACGATTTTTATCTATATATTGTTTTGCGTTGCAAAATTAATGTTTAATTTTATTGGGATTGAAAGAGTGGAGTATTCTCTTTTATAGGTTAAAGTTTATTAGTACGTATTAAGAAAATTAAATTGCTCAAGTAGCCAATCAATTAAATTTTGTAAATATGTACTAATAACTTTTAACCAGCTTAGTGTTTTAAACTATTTTTTATAAACAGTCGGTTTACTAGACTGGTTTACAGAATTCATTGTGTTACGATTCATTTGAAATACTGTGCACAATCCTATTGGACAAAAATGATTTCAAACAAAAACAAGGATTAAATTATTTTAAATGAATCGTAACGCATTAACTTTAGTCTAGTAAGTCAACTGTTCATAAAAATAATTTAAAACAAGAAGCTAGATAAAATTTATTAGTACGTATTTACAAAATTAAATTGGTCGCGAAAATTTATTAGTACGTATTTACAAATTTAAATTGGTTGCCAAAATTTATTAGTACGTATTTACAAAATTAAATTGGTCGCCAAAATTTATTAGTACGTATTTACAAGATTAATCTTTAACCTTTACAAGAAAAGGATGAAAAATCCTACCTAGCATAACTGCCTTCACTGAGAAATTTAAACTAGACATAACAGCTGCTGACTCAACAGTGTATCACGATCAACAACAACCCAAACAATTTAGGTTACCAACAATCTATCACTTTAATTTGTGGCAATAGCGAAACACGTAACAAATTGGGAAAATAAGTGTTTACAAGTGTGGATATAGAAACATATAAATACAGGTAAAATTTGTTGTGTATCAGTTGAATAATGTTAAATAAAAAACAACAACATATGATCTTTTTTTTAAAACTATGGTTTGACATAATCTTGCTGAGTTATAAATTGTTTGATTATGAAGATAAACAGTATCGCCTATAGTTGCATGTTACGAATCGGGCGTGTTTTCATCAGTCTAAAATTCTGTTTTTTTAAGTGGCAAGATGTGTTAACCGATGATAACAAATATGCTTGCATGTATCCTACTCCAAATTTATTTATGTGTTGTTTTCAATTTTAAATATTAACATATGCGAAAAGGTAAAGACGAACAATATATCAAAGGATATGACATACCATAGTCATCGCACGTATTTCCAAAAAACTAAACTAAAATAAATAATAAAAAAATAAAAATAAAAGACAACAACAGAAAACATTATTCTATTTATACATTAACCTCTCTATTTTAGTAGTGGTTTACATATGCATTCCTCGACTCGAGCGTTTGTTCTATCTAACTTAAATTATTGAAATGTTCAGGTATATTAAGTTGTTTTTAACACGAATGGATGTTGAGGTAAAATGAAAACTATGTATAGTATGTAATGTGTATGTTTACATGAAGGTCACATATTTTCGATCATTAAATATATTGACGTTCCAAAGCTGAGATATTTTCGTTCTGGGTCAGATATTGCCCAGACACAAAATAACACACAGTAAAATTAATTGAACTACAATATGTCGTTGTCAGTATTGAAGCAGGCGAGATTTTTCCTCAATGTCGGTCATGACCTTGTTAACACAATAAGATTTGCAAGAGCAACACGGATGTAACTGATATTTTATCATCGCTTGAAAAAATGATTTCTGTAGGACAAAATAACTAAAATGTGATGTACTCTCTGACATACACATTACACTTTTATACAAATTATAGTTATAACTAAAATATGATAATGTTGTATATTATACGACGACTGCGTATTCAAATGTATAAAAAGGCTCTCCATAAAGTAGGTATACGAATAAAGTAGCTTCAGGCACACTTTACACTTGTTTTAAAGCATTAATTAACATATAAAATCATAAATTAAAAAAGTTTTAACATTTTAAAATTACAAATTTTACAAATAAAACAAAATTTAAAAAAAGTAATTATTAACAAATAAAGCCATTCACTTTATTGATAATTTATAAAATGAAAGCAAAAATACTAATATTTGTTTAATTGACAACCCCACAATACATATACCAGTGTATTTTGTTATGATTCATGGCAGCATAACAAAAGACAATCCATGGTCAAAGGTTTACAATAAAATTTTATGCACACATAAATATTTCAGCGCTAGCTTGCAGCTATTTAGAATTTTAAAAAGCAGTGCTTTAGGTCGTAACTTAATTAGCTTTCCATCGTTCTTTATAACAATTAACAACAGATAAAACGATATCAACGGGCATACCGATGAAGTCTAGTCGACCTTTGACATCCGAGTGATGAGGGTCATGTCTCATTTTGTGATTTTAATATCAGTGGCATTGTGTCATTGTATTTTATTGATACTTACATACAAAAAATAATATTGTCTTGTAACGTAATCATTGGTATTGTTCAGAAATGAAATTTTTCTTATTTGTTGACAAATAATTCTTGATTGAGTCTTTAACAACGAATATTTGTGTTTGTTGAAATATTCAAATTTATTGCGAAACCGGTTGTAAAGAAATTGCGATACAATGATGTCATAATGAGCATTATTTTATTGCAACACTGAATACGTTACGAAAAATTCGAAAGATATAGTACGCTACTGTTTACTCGTTAAACCAGTATATGGCGAGGTTTATAGAGGCGTAGAAAGTAGTTCGTCTACACTATCAATTTCATTTGTTGTTTAACATAGTTGACACCTTTAGTATAAAATGTAACACCTTCGAATACAAAAGTGTAAAGTACATTCGCAAAGTTTCTTTTTGCATATCTGATTATGTTTGAAGTCAAAATACTTACTATAAAAATTGCATTTGTATATTATTTAAGACATTGCAATTTCTTATCAGTACAAGTATACAGAACAAGTCATAATAATAAGGCCGTCCATAACAAATATTCATTGTCAATACAAAAGGGCCTACTTAACATCTTCCCCCTCTCACAGTACAATACAATACAAATCAATACAGTACAATGCAACAAAAACAATATAGTAAAATACAATACAACACAACACAATTACATTTAATCACTTTATTTTTTTCAATTTCATATGCCCTTTAACGCAAATTACGTGCGTATACTATAAATAAACCTGTTTTGTATATAAACTGTCTGAAGTGTATACAACACCGTCGTGGCAAAACTGTGTCGGGAACTTATATCAAACATTCCTTAAGTTTACATTCACCTAGTATATATTTGACACGAATTTGATACGAATTAATTGCTTATTTAAACATAAAAGTCAACGAAATGTGCATTGCTACAATGCCCTATCACTTTAAATTTAAGCTGCTTTTAAAGCTAACACGCTTAAACTTGATTTACAAAGAGAAAAAAATGCACTTAAATGTTGGGCTCACACAATTAGTCAAGAAGATAAATAAAATAGGAGAAAGTCCGTATTTTATAAAAAAACCTAATACAAAAACAATGTTAAATGCCATATGCACAAAGAATAACACAATTGATTAAAGAATATGAAATTGATGAATTAACTATAGCCAAACCGTGCTATGAAACAGTATCTAAATCGAAATATCGCTAGTTAACATGACGCTTATGTTAATTAACTACAAAACCATTTGTAAAAATGCACGCATCAAATTATACCACAGAAAGCATTGTTGTGACGCAGTTTGCATAAATTAAGTTAATGAAAATAAGAAAAGTTTAACGATGTCAAAATATTCAAGCATGGTATTGTAAATTATGAAGAGAGTCGAGTCTAGACTGACAAAATGTCACAAACAGTCATGTATCTTAAGTAGGTCAAGACAAGTACTTGCAACTGTTTACATTTGGATAAGCCCATGAAATGTACATGCTTTCCAGAAATAGTAGGGTCGGATTTTTTAAAAAAAAAAATCTTGCTCTGTTCTGAACATCTAAATCCGGAGAAAATGTTCATGCCCTGATTTGCAAGTAGTGATTGTTTGGGTACGTAAAGATCGACACACTTTCATAACTACACTTTGTTTGGATAGACTCCTACGAGCCTGATTTGCTATTTATTTGATTCTTTTATACCTTATCTTGAAAAGGGTGAAACCTGAAAATTTCTACAAGATTTAAAAACTACCGGAACGTTGTACAAATTATCCTCCTTCAGAATCATCCATGGGTCCTTGTTAGATATTTACATTGAAACCTCCGATAATATCCCAGAATGGAACATCATTTCGAACCCTTCAAATGTGCAACATTTTTGATTTCTTTTAACAGAACTAAAAATGGTAGGGTCGGACATATTTTTAGGATCGAACAAAACCTGTTTTAGGCCTAATCTCGTGTTTTAAAAGTTCACGAGATGAAATAAAATTACATCTTACACAACAAACAAACAAATTTTCTTTTTATTTTATGCTTAAAAACAAGCTAAACCAAAATTTCCTTAATATTAACAATAATATTAAAATCTGTTTTCCCCATTAAGAGCCTCAAAACAGTTGAATTTCTCATTAAATACAAGAAGTCTTGGGCTGAAAAATAAGTTCGACAATCAACGTTAAATGGCGGTGATATTATCTATTTTATTAAAAAATACGAATGATCTCTTGTTTTAATAATAAAAACAAACACTTCTACTAGGAGAAAAAGTCCAACCATCCATCCATATTTCTGTTACTTACTGCGAATTTATATTAGATAAATGTAAGCGGCCGCCATTTTTAGAAATTTTCTCTGATTCTATTTATTTGATTCAGAGGGATGTCATTTGTTAGTCATACACCTTTTTAAAAGAAAGAAAACTTATTTGAGGATTGTAACATACAATAAATATGTGTTGACAGATGTGTAAACATTATAAAACCGGCTAGGAAATTGGAAACTTGGAAGCCTTACGAACGCTGGGTGGTTTACTTATTCTTCGGGCTGATGGCTTTCATTGCTTTTCAAGTTTTCATAAAGCATACGGCAGTTATTGCTCGTGGGATACTTAAATTTGCACAAATGTCATCAAGAGCAGTTTTGCATGTGGAAGGAATGTATTTTTCAGACTGTTAAATGAAACAAAACAATTAAAGAGACGGTATTTTGTGATTGGTTATTGAAATGAATAGAAGTAAGTTTTCTTCTTTTTATTACTTTTGACATTTAAGTTATTTATCTATCTCAGCTTTGTTTTCTTTAAACAGTCTGACATTGTCAGAATTGTCAGCAAAAATAAAATTGAAGTACCACATGGGGAAAATCTTAAAAAAATAGTTTCGTCATTGATAAGAGTGAAATTATATTTTGATAATTTTCACTGTGAAATTATCAAATATAATTTTCACGGATAAATCAGTAATCCACTGAAAAGCATAAAATAAAACATGCTAATTAAAACATTTCTAAAATACAGTTAAAAACGATAACAATAACAATAGAAAAAAAAACAGGAATCCTAGAGAAAGCTCAAAACGCCAAAATAAAAAAAAATTGCAGGTTCAGATTTGATTTAGACTAATTTCATTAAGCATATTCATAAACGGTAGTGGTAAGTGCAAAGCTACCATCCTCGCCTCTAGCACCGCCTTTAAGTTAAATTATATGTTTTGTTTATTGATAAAAGTACATTGACGGAATCGTGTTTTATCAATCTATATGTGATATATGCGAAAACAAAATGAGTGGTCAACTATACGACACCTTTGTTATATCCGACTTGGACCCGTTAAGCGTCAACTGTGTCCAGCCGTTTCTATAAAATTTTAGGAACCTTGGGTGTGTTATTTATCATCATATTTTTGTGGTCGTCCATTCCGGTATTTTCAAAAATATGTTTATAGATTCACTATATTTGTACAAATAAGG